GGCTGGCGCCTTAGCCGGTTGAGCTATAGGCGCCGAGCCGTGAGTAAATATTGAAATTGAGCTGTATCTTATGACTATGAATCTATACAAAACATAAAGCTACCAACATATAAAGATATGCACATGGATATATACTGCAACACTAACAGTAAAACATGAGAAATCAACTAACCAATTAACAGGAAACTGTTAAAATAAATTATAATCCATCCATATTAATGAATATTATGTAGCTACATAAAGATGTTAGAGCTATATTTACTCAGCTAGAACAGTAACTATGATACAAGCATTAAGCACAAAAACAAAATTACAGAATAAAATGTAGAGTATAATTTTCTAAAAAGAAAATCCTGTATTATGCTCAGCACTTATAGCTCACCGGCTAGGACGTCAGCCACATACACTGGAGCTGGCGGGTTCGAACCAAAAAACAATGACAACTATAACAAAAAATAATAATAATAGCCGGGCATGTGGTAGGCGCCTGTAGTCCCAGCTACTCAGGAGGCTGAGGCAAGAGAACCGTCTATGCCCAAGAGTTCGAGGTTGCCGTGAGCTGTAATAACACAGTACTCTACCAAGGGTGACATAGTGAGACTCTGTCTCAAAGAAAAGAAAACAGAAAGGGAAGTATCTGGAGACAAACAAAAAGACTGGCAGACAGCATCTAGAAAAAGAGAGAGGGAAAGGAGGAGGAAAAAAAAGTGAGAAACCTTTTTTTTGAGACAGAGTCTCAAGCTATTGCCCTCAGCAGAGTGCCGTATCATCATGGCTCACACAACCTCAAACTCTTGGCCTTAAGTGATTCTGTTGCCTCAGCCTCCCAAGTAGCTGGAACTAAAGATGCCCACACCAACACCTGGCTATTTTTTGACAATAGTTGTCAATGTTGTTTGGCGGGCCTGGGCTGGATTTGAACCCTCCAGCTCTGGTGTTTGTGGCTGGCGCCCTAGTTGTTTGAGCTACAGGCGTCAAGTCAAAAGTGAGAAACATTTTTAAAAGCTACACTTCCACTTACCTACATACAAAATATATTGTAGAAAATACTTTTAACTTACACTGTAAGGGGTTGCTTCCATTTGGGACTGTTCGTATTGTTGCATTTTTCTGTCTTCTTTGACTGTCCATCTACTGTGACTTCTACATAAGGACTTGGTCCAAACCAATTCTTTTTATTTTCTTTAAGTTTTGCTGATAGGACTATGTAAAACAAAAGTGTGAAAATACTTCAACATTAGAGATGTCATTTCTTTTTCAAATCAATCTAATTTCACAAAGATTAGGGAGATTACTTTTATTCAGATAAGCAGTTTTGCTTTAAAATATTTACTAATTTTAACTCACTCATGACCTGAATTATTTCCTCTCATCCTAATAAATATAGGATTTCCCCACACCATCCACCCAAATTCCTCCAAGTAGACTCTCATGGTCAGTACCAAAAGTCCCAGAACTTAGGTCTATTAAAAGCACAACACTGACAAATCTGGTCAACAAATACTTGGATGTCTACCATGGGTCAGATAATGTTCTAAACTCAGTGAATAGAGGAATTAACAGTATAGAAAAGGCACTGGCTCTCAAGGAGATTTGATTCTAGTCACAGAAAAGTCTGTGTGATGAAAAAATAGGCTGATGTGACAGAATAAGTCTTGGAAGTAAGGATAGCCCCTTAAGGAAGTACTTTTAAGAAACTATCCAAATGGAGCTAGCCATATAAAGATTGGGAGTGAGAATAAGAAAGCACTCCAGTCAGACATAAAAGAGTTTGGCATATCTGAGAAAAAGCACAGCAAGCACAAAGAATGGTAAATGACCCAAGATAAGCTTTGTATGTGACCTTTGTAAGCCAACATAAGGAATATGGATTTATTCTAAGTATGCTAGACCTCCACTAAAAGAATAAGAGTTACAAGTTAAGTTTTTTTTCACATCTCATACATCTCATAGTATCTAAGCAAGAGCGTCTTTCTATATTGTGCATCTTGAAAAACAAATTCCTTAAGTTAGTCACTTTTGCCATAAAATAGCTTTGTCTGAACCCCTTGGAGGTGATAACAAGGAAATTAAAATCTAATAGAGCACCCCATGGCTCCCATAGGTGATAACTTATTGTTCCCCTATAGATAAGGTGATCACAGCCAAGGAAGTATTCTACCACCCAGATACCTATCCTAGCAACAAAGTTCAGAGAATGCCAGTGCCCACCAAGGCTAAGGGGCCCTTAAAGTTGCTAGAGGAATTTATATATCAGCTACTTAAGAAGCTTAATATACAGAGTGAATTCTGGGCATCAGAGCAGACACAGTCCTAGGTGGTATCCCTTAATCTCTGATTTCACATCTTTTTTGTTCATGTCTCTTTTTGGTGACATCCAAGCCAGCTGTAGAATAACTTTTCTTACACATATGCACATTCTATAAATTAAAGCATCATCATTATTTTGAAACAGTATAAAAAAGTTGACCACCATTTGAAATCAATATGCATTATCAAAACAGTCTACCAAAGGAAAAAAAAAGTGACAAAAGATGGCTAAAGTAGGCAATAATGCTAAAATAGTGTTTTTGTACAGGAAAAAAAAGTAGGCAATAAGGAGCTACTGAAAAATTCTAATGGGTCAGCGCCTGTGGCTCAAGTGGTGAAGGCGCCAGCCACATACACCTAAGGTGGCAGGTTTGAATCCAGCCTGGGCCTGCCAAAACAATGACAGCTGCAAAGAAAAAATAGCTGGGCATTGTGGCGGAGGCCTGTGGTCCCAGCTACTTGGGAAGCTGAGACAGGAGACTTGCTTAAGCCCAGGAGTTGGAGGTTGCTGTGAGCTGTGATGCCACAGCACTCTACCCAGGGGGACAGCTTGAGGCTCTGTCTCAAAAAAAAAAAAAAGAAAGAAAGAAAACAAAAATTTTATTAAAAAGGTGGTATCTGACAAATTTACTGGGTGCCTACAATATACATGAGGAATTATTTGGATACTGAGGATACATCAATGATCACATTAACACTTAAAGATTACTCTGGGGCTATGCAGAAAAAGAAATTGAAAAGGAGAGAAAAGTAGGGGTTAGCAGCTACTGAAGTCATCTGGTCCAAAGATGACAGTGAAGATAGCTGTAATCCTAATACTTAGGCCAAGGGAGGAGGATCACTTAAGGCAAAGAGTTCAAGACCCACCCAAGACATGCCCCCATCTGTGTGTGTGTGTGTGTATAAAATTTTAGCTAGGTGTGCTTGTATGCACCTGTATTCTCAGCTACTTCAGAGGCTGAGGCAGGAGGATCATTTGAGCCCACGAGTTTGAAATGGCAGTGAACTCTGTTGATGATGCCACTTCAATTCAGACTGGATGATAAAGTGAGACACTGTCTCCCAAAAAGAGAGGCTCGGCACCTGTGGCTCAAGCGGCTAAGGCGCCAGCCACATACACCTAAGGTGGTGGGTTCGAATCCCCAGCCTGGGACCGCCAAACAACAATGATGGCTGCAACCAAAAAATGGCCAGGCGTTGTGGCGGGCGCCTGTAGTCCCAGCTACTTGGGAGGCTGAGGCAGGAGACTCGCTTGAGCCCAGGAGTTGGAGGTTGCTATGAGCTGTGATGCCATGGCACTCTACCCAGGGGGATAGTTTGAGGCTCTGTCTCAAAAAAAAAAAAAGAGAGAGAGAGAAACAGAAAGAAAGATGACAGTGGTGGTGAACATCAATATGGGAAGGAATAAATATTTTCTGAAGAGAACCACCAACATTAGATTTCATGAGGAAGTTGGGGAAAAGAAGCCAAGGGATACCCTCCTGTTTCTGGCATGAATAATTAGATGGAAGACAGTATCATTTAATAAGACTGTTATTGTTGCAGCTGTCATTTTTACTTTAGCTGACCCAGGCTGGGTTTGAGCCCTCCAGCTTCGGTGTATGTGGCTGGTGCCCTTCCCACTGAGCTACGGGCACCACCAAATATTAATCTCTTTTTCCTGACCATAATTGTTATCTCTTGCCATTACTATATACTTCAAATTTATTTTTTTACACTTAAGTATTTATTCCTTCCTCAAGTCTAGAAAGGTGTTGAGGCAGCTTACAGTAAAAACATACTATAAATGACCCATTAACAAAGAATAAAAAATAGAATGTCATTAAAGGAGATTTATACAAATAAAAATCAATTCTCAGATTTCTAATATCAAAACTAAAATAAACTTAATGAAGGATACCTGATTCTATTCAGCCTGCTGGTTTTCTGTGTTTTTGTTTTTCTAAGACAGAGTCTCACTTTGTCACCCTCAGTAGAGTGCCACAGTGTCATAGCTCACAAAAACTTCAAACTCCTGGGCTCAAGCGATTTTCTTGCCTCAGCCTCCCATGTAGCCAGGACTATAGGTGCCTGCCACAACACCTGGCTATTTTTAGAGACAGGGTCTTGCTCTTGCTCAGCCTGGTTTAGAATCTGTAAGGTCAGGCAATCCACCAGCCTTGACCTCCCAGAGTTTACAGGCCTGAGCTACCACACCTGGCCTCTGTGTTTTAACTTATGCTCTCCATTTATTTCACATCTAATAATATTTGCAGAACCTTTATCCATTATTCATGTTGTGCTTGTTTTTATTGTTTTTGCCTTATACTTAACGTATCTCAGGATTTTTAGACCCAAGATTTAAAATTTTTAAATGACTAGGTGTTATGACTTCCTGAGGAATATAATTAGGTATTTATCATCATAGTAAGAGAAACAATTAATGATGATGATTAAAAAAACTATTAACATGGTTATCTCCGAGAAATAATTTATCATTTTACTTTACTTCACTGGTATTTTTGAAAATTAAAAAAATGCATATTACTTATGTAATCTGAAAAAGTAGACACACTTTTTAAAAACTGTTAAAGTATCAACATGAAGCTGTACTGCTCCTCTCTGCCCCACCCACCCCAAAGCCATAAGAAGCCTGGCCCAATTTAAATCAGCTACTCGGGCTAGTTTGAGGATGAAGCAGGGAGGAAACAATTAGATCTAGCTTTAGCAAAGAAATAGTAGTACCTTTCATTGCGAATCAGATGCTAAGGAAAGAGACTAGAGTTAGTAAAGGAAATCCCAAAAGAACATTCTAGGATGCTGTTACCTTAAGACAGTATTACATTAATATAATTCAATTACCTTTAGGTTCCGAGGAAGATAATAATTACAAGATATGTTCTGTGATCTAGTATACTTATAATCCGGGCTCAGTGCCCATAGCTCAGTGTTAAGGCACCGGCCATATACACTGGGGTTGGCGGGTTCAAACCCAGGCTAGGCCTGCTAAACAACAGTGACAACTACAACAAAAAACAACTGGGCACTGTGGCGGGGGGAGGGGTACCTGTAGTCCCACCTACTTGGGAGGCTGAGGCAAGAGAAACGCTTAAACCCAAGAGTTTGAGGTTGCTGTGAGCTATGACGTCAGAGCACTCTATTGACAGCAACATAGTGAGACTCTGTCTCCAAAAACAAAAAAAGAAACTACAACCAGGTATAGTAGAAACTAAAATAACATACATAGGATGATAATTGTTCTATAATCAATAAATGCTATTAAAGAGAGAATGGCTGGCAGTTTACTGTGTTGATAGAGATAAATACATGTCTGAAGAAATGGAGTGAGACTCAACCTGGCTAATAACAAATGCTTCACATGTAAAGAACTACAAAGAGATCATATGGAACCAAACTGTAAAAGGTCTTAGCTTCAGGCTAAAGCAATTCTACACCATAGTCAAGGAGAAACACTGACAGTTTTTGAACAAGAATGAAAGACATCTGGCTAGGCCTGGTGGCTCACACCTGTAATCCTAGTACTCTGGGAGGCCGAGGTGGGTGGACTACATTAACTCACAAGTTTGAGACCAGCCTGAGTAAGAGTGAGGTTCTGCCTCTAAAAAAATAGCCAGGTGTGGTGGGACAGCAACTACTACCAGTAGCTGGTAGTCCCAGCTACTTGGGAGGCTGAGGCAAGAGAATCACTTGAGCCCAAGAGTTTGAGGTTTCAGACTGCGGTGAGCATAATGCCACAGCACTCTACCAAGGCAACAAAATGAGATTCTGTCTCAAAAAAAAGAAAAGGAAAAGAAGCACATTTAGTGGCATATTAAGAAAATTCATCTGGAAGTGATAAACACTATGTATGATTAGAGGAAAAAACAAAGGCAGAAATTAACAATAGCAACCAAAGATTTGAACAGAAATTTCCCAAAAAAGATAAATGACTGATGAGTAAATGAAAAGATACTCAATATCATTAGCCAAAAGAAAAATCCAAGTTAAAACCACAATGAGATACTATTTCACATTCCCTAGGATAGCTATAGTCAAAATGAC